GAGGCGTCGGTACAGCTAGTAAAACAAACATTGAGATATGATCAGAAAATGCATGTTTTCTTAAACAACAGATACATGCCAGCTTTAAAGTCTTCCTATCAAGACCATGAGTTACAACCGCTTTGTTCTGCCCACATATCCAAAAACACATAAACACACGCAGTCTAAATAATGGGTGCTCATGTGCATATTTCAGCTCGCACACTTGCTGTGTTAATACTCTAGCCCTTGTAACCCACTATGGCTCATGCCATGCATTTTTAAAAAGGTAACTTTGAAAGGTTTGCCAGTGAACCCACAGAGAGGTTGATGTCTTGCCAGGTGCCTTCATGTGATGTCCTTGCTCCCTTATTGGTTTCACAAATCACACAGATTCGCAATAGGTGGTAGGTGCAGATAAAATGGCAGGCAAATGGGAAAATAATCTAGTCAGGATGAAACAAATGAATAAACGAGGGATTTTGCATAAACCACCTTGGACAGAAAATCAAATCAAATCAAGTTTTATTTATAAAACACATTTAAAAGCGATTTTTGGTCGAGCCAGAGTGCTGTACATGTAATAAAAACACATTACTACAATCACAATAAAAGACAATAAATTACAACAGATATATAAAAAACAAAGGGAAAAGTCAGGAGTCGTGCTCCGCTCTGACTAGAAGGCCAGGGAGAAGAAGTGTGTCTTAAGAGTAGATTTAAAAACCCCTAGGGTCTGGGACGACCTCACATGGAGGGGCAGAGTGTTCCAGAGCCTAGGGCCAGCTGCTGCGAAGGCTCGGTGCCCTCAGGTTTTGAGCCTGGTCTTGGGCACTACCAGCAATAGCTGGTCAGCAGACCTTAAAGCTCTGGCTGGGGTGTAGCGATGGAGGAGTTCGGCTATATAGGCAGGAGCCAGCCCATTTAGGCCAGCCCATTTAGGGCTTTAAAAACAAATGAAAGGATTTTAAAATCAATTCGGAACCAAATTGGAAGCCAGTGTAGTGAGGCCAGAATTGGGAGGATGTGGTCACGTTTTTTGTGGCCAGTCAGAAGACGTGCAGCTGCGTTTTGGACTAGCTGCAGGCGTTTAATTGAGGCCTGGTCCATGCCCACGTATAGAGCGCTGCAGTAATCCAGTCTTGAGGTTACAAAGGCATTAATAACCCTTTCTAAGTTTTTAAAAGATAAATACGACTTGGTTTTGGCCAATAGTCTTATTTTAAAAAAGCAGGTCTTGACTACGCTGCTGACCTGCTTATCAAATTTAAAAGCGCTATTGAAGGTCACTCCAAGGTTCATGACAGAGGGGAGGATGTTTTTATTGAGAGAGCCCAAAAATACTAAACGCTAAAGTGACACCGTAGAAAGGCAATTGTCACCGTAGAAAGGCAATTTTTTCATAATTAGGGTGTGATCACTTACATTTACAGGCACAGATATCTAAGTTTCATAGCAGTTTTAATGAGTTCTATGAATTTGTATAATTGGGCCGAGACTCACATTATAAAGACAGGAAATCCGAGGCTCAAGATTATTGCCTTGAGGTACCCCATAGTGTGTTTAACTTGTGAAGTTGTTCGGAACTTCAAGTAACACCTACTGTAAGCTGATAGTAGATAGGCAGAGATGAGCTGTTCAGCAGATAAGAAACACTTAACTTAAACCATTATAAAACAGGTAGGCTAACTGTGCTGTGGCTAGGCTATAATTGAAACAAAGGTAAGCCAGCGTTGCCATTGTACATTCTTGCATCTTATTTGTCTGGCCATGATTGTTGCACTATTTTATGTGTTAGATTTCTACTTTTACTTTTTTATTTTGTATCTAATTTAAATGAGCATTGTTGGACCTACCTGATATTTAGATTGACATTGCCAACAACTGCCTCTCTGTAATTGTTGTGCATTTAAAATAAAGAACTTGATATTTGAAATGCATTGTTAAATTATTGCTGCATATAGTCTATCTGCCTTCCCACTTTTCCAGGGTGTGTCCTTTTTCACTATATTAGGCAGCCCACTGGATTAATTAATTAGTCGTGTCTGTTCAGGTGTAATAATACCCAGGACACTGGCGGGTGTGAACAGATGCAATCTGTGCTTTACCATTTAAAGAACCTCCTGTCGTGCTCAATAACTTAGTTAAATAAAGTAATTGTCACTGTCAGCGTAAAGCACACACGATACCGCACACTCTCATTCTCACACAAACACACATGCAACCACCATCAGCACATGTTAATGTGTACTTGTGTGCGTTTCTCTCCTTAACAATTCAGCCCCCTCTTGAGCTGAGTGCAAATTGCCTGACGTGGTTAGATATCGGCTGGGACTTCACTTTGAATGTTAGTTGCATTTAAGACTCAACACCATCTTTATGCTGAAATGAAAAAAACGAAAACAACTTGAGACACTTTAAAACCTTAAATTAGTTATTACTTATTTAAAGTTTAAAATGTGGCTTTGTCTTTCACCTTAAGATGTTAGCAATCTAGGTAGAAATATTATATAAAAGGGGACAATAAATGCATTTGATCCCATTAGTCATTGTTTAATTAAACAGAACTCACAATGAAATAACAAAAAAAAGGATGTTCCAATCAGCTCTCCGGCATGCTCATCTTTGATTCAATTCAAGATTCAAAAGCGTATTGCCATAACATATACAAAACTACGGTGTAATTATGTAATGTATGAAAAACTTAGATTCCTCAACAGTGCACATTTTAAGACGTAAAAAAAACATACTAAAAAACAACATTACATATAAAAATATTGCTAGCTCAGGTGTTGAATAGTCTATATATATATATATATATATATATATATATATATATATATATATATATACACACACACACAGTATTGATTGCTGTTTTGTTTTTCCTTTTTTTTTTGGTATGATGGTCAATATTTGTTTTTATATCATTCTCAGGTATCTGAAACTTCAAATATCAAATCCAGTGGAAACGACTCTATATCATCAATAAAGATGTTTTTTTAAAATAATATCAGCTGCATTTGCATGGTGTCAGAACAATACAGGGTTGCAGAAACAGCACAAGTGGCTAGCCTATATTTTAATTTTGTAATATTGCATAAATGCTGTTGACCAACAAAATGCCGCCATGTTTACCAACAAAACAATGCAGCCTGCTAAACAATATACTGTTGTGTTTTTGGATAAAGACACAGACATTTGGATGATTAATGCAAGTAATCACCCTCATAGCATTTTACTGACTTTACACTGCAGCAGGTTACATCACACTTGTAGTCTTCTGTGTGATCTTGTGGCAGCCATTTTAGTATTTTCAGCTGTGTGTGAAATATTAGCTCTGTTTCTGATGACAGCATAACTTTTTGTATACTGGTAGATGAGCATTATGGGCTAGCACAGCATCAGAAAGAGCAACAGAAAAATATTAGGTACTCAATCCACCTTACAGTACCATATAAATTCCCTCCTGAGTAACAAAATGGCCCTTGCTTTGTGTGCCCAGCTTGCTCACTTATCTGTATTAAAACTCAGCTCAGAACTACATGGAGGAGGAACAGGAAGAGTTCTGACATTGTAAAGTCTGCACACTGCGCTGTGATAGGCTAAAAATGTACCTAGCAACGCGACAGCCAATGAGAATTCGAGAATATGTCCAAGTCCCGCCCACGTTTGACCTCACTTAAAGCGGTAGGTGCCATGCACTTCCGAGTTTGTTCATGAGGCTGCTCGTGGTACAGGCTTTGAGATTCAGTCTTATTATTAATATTTACACAATTTAGATATAAGTAGGTTAGTTCCAACAAATGAATTCATAATGTCCTACAGTTTTAAGCTAGTTCTATAAATGTCAGGATACAGACTGTTTTTACACAGTAAGGAAATACAAATAAAAACGTGTTTGGTTCTTGGAGAGAAAACACACGCCCAATAGATGAAAGAAGAAATAAGCTCCTTTAATATTTGAAAGAAACGAGCAATAATCCTGTATATTATTTGTATTCTTTAGAAGACACACGCATTTCTTTCTTAAGAAATCCATGTAAGGCAGAGATTCACACAGATTTATTTTTAATGAGTGCTGTGACCCCTTGTGCCCAGACGAGGTACTTCCTGCAGAGAAACCCAGACAGCCAGACAGAAGTCACCATACAGATGATGATGATGATGATGATGATGATGATAGGTCACCTTTAAGCTTTAACCCTAACCACCACATTAATGTATTATAGCCCAAAATAGATGTGATTGGTCATAACATTGTGGAGAATTTTTTTTCTTGTTTTAATACACTATTCTATCACTCAAATTGTATTTTGTGTCCATAATATTCTTTTATTTGTTTATTGGGAAAAATCTTATTTCCCTTAGAATCATTTAAATGAAAAAATATGAGAATAACAAAAATCACCATAGCTGTAATGAGTTGTAAAATGTTCGGACACTGCTTAATTTTCAGGATCTTTAAGCTAACCTTTTTATGAACCATTTGCAAAAAAGTCTTAATTCCTCAAAAGATGTTAAAAGTATTTTGAGGAAATATCCTGGGCCTTGGGCTCTGTTTTTTGGGTGATCTTTTCTTTTAAACTCCACTTGATTAGTTTATAAAATGGTATGTTAGCAGAGAAGACATATTTTAATACTAGCCATTTAAATAAGTGATGCCTTGTTAATATACAGTTAAGCTTAGTTTAAGTTTGTTCTTTCAGCAATGATGGCACCTCAAAAGCTTTACAAAATGACTTTAAGAGGATTTGTGTGCTTTAGAGAGAATGAGGTTATTATAAGACTGTTAGCTGACTAAGGAACATGCTGGGTGATGTAATTAGGTTTCTGTTTCCTCCAGGTTCTCCATGTCTTTGTGATGGTGTGTGCACTTTGAATTTTAAAACACATAAGTGTCTGCCACCAATGTACTTGTATATTTCACATGTTGTTGTTGTTGTTGGTTGGACAGAATAAAAAAAAGAAAAGGTCAACAGTGCAAGATGGAAAGAATGAACATGTTCTTGTTCCTGTAGCAATTCAGCCTCCGGAGAATCCAACCGCTCTGCGTCCGAGTCGGGGAGTCGGTCAGAGAGCGAGCATGGAAGTGAGCGGAGGAAATCCCACAACTCCGAGTCAAACAGCTCCTCAGAGTCTGAGAGTCACTCAGAGTCAGGGAGCGAGTCTGCAGGGTCCAAATCACAGCGAACCACAGAAGGAGCAAAAGATAAGCCAGTTAAAAAGAAGGAGCGCCTGGCTGACGTAAAGAAGGTAAAGGTCACTGAACTTTAGAGAGGTACCTAAGTCCTCTTACTGTTTCTAAAGCGGGCCAAGGGGACTGTCAATTTATACTGCAAATTGGGTCACCTTGTGTAATCCTGCCTTCAATCTTAATGTGATTATGTAGGTCTAAAATGCAGAAAGGATGTAGCTCGAGATATACGTTATCATTTTTGTATCCATTGTAGAATTCTGCGGTCTCCCAGTTCTAGACTGCATCCTAATCTAAACAGATTAAGTTCACATTGTAAAAACTGACAAAGTATGCTCAAAATAGTAAGTAAGCATACTAGAAAATGTGTGCTGCGTTGATGTGCACACATGTACGATAATGCAGTGCAAAGCCAATTGAGGCACTGCTCAGCTAGTTAAGAGCAGTAGTGGTAAGTGGCAACAAATGTCTAGGAAAACCAAAATAAGCTTAATTGTTAATGAAAACAAATGTGGTCTTTCAATGCTGCAGTATTGATTGATCCTCAGAAGCACAAATATCTGGAACTGTTTGTCCAGAAAGTATAAAGTATGTACATTTGTATTACTAAAAACAATGTTACAATTAGTATACAGTATAATAATCTATAAGGGACACTATCAGAAAAAATTGCCAGCACTTATTTTGACAGTTGATACCGCTTCCATGTTATTTTTTAATAAATGCCAAGAAGATCCCTATAGGTATAGCTTTTCAATTGTGTATATTTACAGCTGTTCTCTGTTTTTATAAGTTGAAAACTGTATATTTTTTAATGTTCTTAATTGACTGGGCCACGGTCTTTAACCAATTATAATTTATTGAACCAAATTTAAATTCAGATAATAATCACACAGTGAAAATAATGTAGATTTGCAGCCAGATAGCAGTGCAGAATGGAATATGGACACCGTATCTTAGCTTAGTGATACTGAAAATCACAATTCTGATAGCAGTCGATCTCTCTACAGATGTGGGAAGAACATCCAGATGTCTACGGGGTCAGGAGGTCAAACCGCAGTAGACAGGAGCCGGCTCGTTTAAACATTGGAGCTGGGGTAAGCAGATGAAAAATGAAACGAAGAAACAGCAATAAAATAATGTGTGGTCCGCACATTATTTTTTTTCTATTGGCATCAACATCAAGCCACTTGTGCCACCTAGTGGACATTTAAAGAAGTGCTGTTACATTTCATTTGGAAACAGCTCTCACTGAAATACACACCTGCCTTGCTGACTGTATTTACAGGGTAGCAGCGGCTCAGAGAGTGAGAGTCCCAAGAGGAAAACACCCCGAAAGAAAAAAGAGTAAGTTAAAAGACTGCAAACATCTTTAGTTTTGTGGTTTATCATTATTATATTTATTTGTTAGTCTAGCACTATATGCTTTCAATTATTGAAAGTCTTTCAAATATTTTTGTTATTTAACACTTGATCAGCAATTTTTCACAATTCATGCCTGTGTTTGTCATCGTGTTGTCAGTTCTTGCTCACATTGTGCTTCCTGTTATCATCTTATCAAACCTGTCTGTAAATGGGTATCTGCTTGTTCTCCATGCGCTCAGTTAGTTTAAGACAGACGGCAGAGGTTCTACATTTCAATCAAATTTGATTGGTCTTATGTTCAGCTTATCCCTGATCAAATTGGGTTTGGGTGAACACCCTGTAGCCAAAATTATGAAATTCAAATTTGGTAATAGAAGTGATGGGCCTTGAGGGTGAACTTGTGGCATTTCTTTGTTGTAAGAAATATCTGGAAAGATGATGACTCTAATGATGAAGACGAGGAGGAGGAAGCTACGGAGAGTTCAGACAGTGAGCAGGAAGAGAAAAAAGTTAGATCCAGACGACTTCCTGCAAGAAGGTAAGAGCTTAGCGAGGCCTGGCCATCAGACAGCTACCCACTGCTCATATCCAATTCATTCCATATTGTGTGAGACATTTTCATTTCCCCCTTTTTACTTTGTGTCAAGTACAAACCTTAAAGCTGTAGCCAGATGTTCTAAAAAATGTAAATGTTATAATATCATAAGACATGAAAGAAATATTCTTTTGATTTCAAAGTAATGTGGCCCCCTGCTGTTGGCTGCCAATAGAGACTAAATGATCTGACAGATGGTCCAGGAGTTTGGATCCTTATCTCTAAGGGCTTTGGTGCTTTGTGTTTTTACAGACCTCAGACCAAATCATCAACAGCCAAAAAGCAGCTGTCTCAAAAAGGCAAGAAGTCCAGGAAACAGGAGTCGTCTGCTGAAGATGACGACGACGACGACGATGAAGACGATGACGAGGACGATGATGAAGACGATGAGGACGGCACTCCAAAGAGACAAACTCGAGGAAGGACTGCAACCAAAGTGAAGAGGTGAATGTTCTCAGAGATTTAGATATCGGGTCCTCTTGCATTTAATGATTGGCTCATGTGTGCCAGCTACTTTTATTTTGAATGTCATATCATGCTTTGGATGGAAGTTAAACAAATATATATTTTTTAATATCAGTTTCTAACTTTCTAGCTGAAAAAGGAGCTTTTCTATTATACTTAATTATATATAGTCTACATTTATACTATATACTGTATAGTCTTTTGGCACATACTGTCTTTTATCAGTCATTTCAAGTCCCCTTATGCCCAAAGACTAAATATCGTATGATAATAACTCTTAGAAACTAAAAGAAGCAGTATAAAGTCCTTCATATTTATATTCATTCATTAAAAGATAAAAATTATAAAATTAACCCACAAACAATCTGACTTTGACCTAATTTACATTGGTGCCCATTTCAAGACTATTTATAGAAAACGTAGTGTTTGGGCACGAATGTGTTCAACAGGGACATCAAGTTTAACCTTCTGGACTCCAGCATAACATTTTCCACTTGTCCTTTCCCCCTGTTCTGTTTTCTTACAGTTATAAAGAGGACCAACATGACTTTGAAACAGACTCGGATGACCTGATCGAGATGACAGGGGACGCTTGTGAGGAGCAGCTGGATGATGACAGTGAGACCATTGAGAAAGTGATGGACACCAGGACAGGCAAAAAAGCAGGTGATGCATTTTCAATCTTCTTTAACTATTATTTAAACCATGTTGTGTTTGTAATTGAATTACACTTCGCCCAATGCACACTATAGTAAAGTTGTTGTTCTTTTTTCTAGCCACTGGTGCCCCCACTACAATGTATTCTGTGGAGGAGAACGGGGACCCAAATGGAGGCTTTGACCCCGAGAAGGATGAGGGGGAGACTCACTATCTGATCAAGTGGAAGGGCTGGTCCTACATCCACAACACATGGGAGAGCATGGACACTATGACACAGCAAAAGGTCAAGGGACTTAAGAAACTGGACAACTTCAAGAGGAAACATGACGAGCTCTCTTCATGGTTAGGATCTTTCTCTTTTATGTTACACTTGTTTGTTTTTGTTTTGCAGAACCATCTTTCGAGAAGTTGAACTTTGAACTCTTTTCTTGTTTGCAGGATGAGGAGGGCGTCCCCTGAGGATATAGAGTTTCATAACTGCCAACAGGAGCTCATATCCGACCTGAACAAGCAGTTTCAGTTTGTGGAGCGTATTATTGGTAAGAACTCAGTATCAAATGTAACTGCCTTTGTCCGGTAGTGCTCCAGATAATCTATTTGTTGCACTTACTAAAATACATTTTCTTCAATTAACAGCAACAAAAACAGCAAAGACACCAGGATCTGTTGACTTCCCCTGTAAGTCCCCTTTTTTAATTCTTCACTTTTCTTCACCGTTACATTAAGTTGGCTACGTTTTAAATGTTCCCCTCTGGTATACAATTATATCTTTTTCTAAACATTTGTCTGCTTTGTTCAACAGCTCATAGTCACAAGAATCCGTCCTCCGATGAGCCAGAGTACCTCTGTAAGTGGATGGGTTTGCCCTATTCAGAGTGCAGCTGGGAAGATGGAGCTTTGGTTGGTAAGAAGTTCCAGCACTGCATCGACAGCTTCCTGAGCCGAAACTCCAGTAAAACCGTCCCATCGAAAGACTGCAAGGTAAGAGACAAATCCCCCAAAATGGTCTTATTTTTATTCGTCTCGAACACTTCCCGTTTCCTGATATTATTCAATTCTCTCATCCTAATCAAAGAACTGTGTTTGTTATTCTCACTTCAGGTGTTAAAGCAAAGACCGAGGTTTTCTGCTCTGAAGAAACAACCATCGTACATTGGAGATGAAAACCTTCAGCTGAGAGATTATCAGCTGGATGGGTTGAACTGGTTAGCTCATTCCTGGTGCAGGTACTGTGTACATGAGAATCATAACTTGTGTAATAATGGCAGGTAGTTAAATGTTATTTGAAAAAATTGGCTTCTTCTTAAAAATCATGCCTATTTTCTTATTCTGCGTCCTCAGGTGCAACAGCGTTATCCTGGCAGATGAGATGGGGCTCGGAAAGACCATCCAGACCATCTCCTTCCTGTCGTACCTGTTCCATCAGCACCAGCTGTACGGACCCTTCATCGTGGTGGTGCCTCTGTCCACGCTCTCCTCCTGGCAGAGAGAGTTTGAAACCTGGGCCCCGGACATGAACGTGGTGGTCTACCTCGGGGACGTCATGAGCAGGAAATCGGTGTGTTGAATTCGGATTCTCTCCCAATCTGCTGGAATCTTAAAAGTTGGTTACATTATCTTACGTTGTCTCTGCTCCTTTTTAATGTAGATTCGTGACTACGAGTGGGTGAACCACCAAACGAAGAGAATCCGCTTCAATGCACTATTAACCACTTATGAGATTGTACTTAAAGACAAGGTGGGTGCAGGGTTCAGCATTTGCATTTTCTGTTGATATATTTCTCGTGCAGTATGTTTGTGAAGGACAAGAATTCATCCCTTTGGTGACTTTCCCCTCTAGGGGGTCCTGGGGAACATCAACTGGGCGTTCATGGGTGTGGATGAAGCACACAGGCTGAAGAATGACGACTCCCTGCTGTACAAAACATTAATGGAGTTCAGGTCCAACCACAGGCTCCTCATCACCGGCACTCCGCTGCAGAACTCCCTCAAAGAGCTCTGGTCCCTGTTGCACTTTCTCATGCCTGACAAGTACGTCCTGGCTTAGACCTTTTAACATGATACTGGAGAAATGCAGGGGAACGGCATCGGGTTTGAGTTCCAGCCGGGGATGAGTGACGTTTGTTATCTATGTCGTGCACAACAGGTTTGCTTCCTGGGAGGATTTTGACGATGCGCACGGGAAAGGAACTGATAACGGTTATCAGAGTCTTCACAAAGTCCTCGAGCCCTTCCTTCTGCGACGTGTTAAGAAAGACGTGGAAAAATCTCTCCCCGCCAAGGTGGAACAGATCCTCCGTGTGGACATGACTGCACAGCAGAAACAATACTACAAGTATGAATTCATTTCTGTCTTTTGTAACTTTTACAACATCCATCTTCGCAAACATCTTGTACAAGAAGCTGCGTGTCTCTCCCCATTAACTTCACTTTGTCCTCAATATTTCCAGGTGGATTTTAACGAGGAATTACAGAGCCCTTTACAAAGGCCCCCGAGGCAGCTCCTCCGGCTTCCTGAACATAGTTATGGAGCTTAAAAAGTGCTGCAACCATAGTTTTCTCATAAAACAGCCGGAGGAAGTAGAAAATGAAACCCAAAAGGAACACATGCTGGTAAGTCTCCTTATGAACCCTCTTTAGCTCCCAGCAACACCTCAGGACATCTCTGCTCCACTAAAGAAACGAGTAGTGACGTAACCAAGATGAAAATGACATAGTCCCAAAAGAATGCTCAATGCTGCCTAATTATTAATGACTGCCTCACTTTGTATCTCTACAGAGTGTAGTGAGGGGCAGTGGGAAGCTGGTGCTGCTGGACAAGCTGCTGACCCGACTCAGAGAAAGAGGAAACAGAGTCCTGATCTTCTCTCAGATGGTCAGGATGTTGGACATTCTGGCTGAATACCTCGCCAAGAATCGCTACCCCTTCCAGGTAACATTCATCAGGGAGTTCGTATACAGAGCAAGATGCTGTCAGGGAATACTCCATGTCAATTGTATGGTACTGTAGTCGTTCTGAGTGATGCTATCAACATAGGAAGACTAATTCCACTTAAGTTTGTTCTTACTCCATCTGAGGAAGGGCTACTGTATCACGAGCACAACTCTCTGCTTGTTAGGTGTTCACTGATTCAAATCCCAGCTGTTTTTTCTGGTAAAATGAAGTGCATGTTGGAACATTGATTACCCCTTTCATTATAATTAGCAGAATTTATACTATTACATTTAGTGTGTTAAGTTTATATTTCCATCAGGTTCCATTAAGGTTTTCGACAAGAACGTTGAAACACCTGCAGCACCAGTTTCTCCAGAAGCTGTGTCTAGACTGAAAGATCATTTTTTGATTGTTGTGTTTATCAGTGTTTACAGTGCAGGGGGCTTTTTCAGCGTTTGTGTTGTAGGGTTGGACTTGAATAGGGATCAGATGTCAGTGTTGATGCACACATGCTGTGCCAAGCTGAAAGATCATGTGGTTATTTATATCAACAAGTTATTTTCTGCTGAAGATCAGTCTAACTCCTGCAAGTCACTCCACTCGGGTTGTTTTTGCTGACTTGGTCTTCAGCGTTAACTGTTCTGTGATCAGTCTGAGCCGATAGACCGGGTCATGACATGTTACCTGTTAAGCTTACTGATGCCAAGGTAACAGCAGATAGCTGTGCGGGAAATCTCAAATGTTTATTTTCTTTCCTCTTCAGCGGCTGGATGGTTCTATAAAGGGGGAAATCCGAAAGCAAGCACTTGATCACTTTAATGCAGAAGGCTCAGAGGTATGTGTAATAATAATAATAATAATGTGTTGATACAGAATGTTATTATTAAAGTTATATTTGTATATATCTCAACAACAGGCTTATCTTATTGTGATTATGCTTTAAACAAACACACAGTACTTTGTTTTGCTTGTGTTTTTAATTTATAAATGGTGTATAAAAAAAAAAAGGTTTATAAATGAGTACTGGAAAAAAAAGTTTGAGGTTGAAGTAGATTGGATTAGTCTTCTTCCCATTTTACTCTTATTATTCACAATACATTGATGTGTGTTGAGCATTATTGTTCTAGGAGATGTGTATTAACAGTTATATTTGTTTTCCAGGACTTCTGCTTCCTGCTGTCCACCAGAGCTGGAGGTTTGGGGATAAACTTGGCCTCGGCAGACACCGTAGTGATCTTTGACTCTGACTGGAACCCTCAGAACGACCTGCAGGCTCAAGCTAGGGCTCACAGGATCGGACAAAAGAAACAGGTAATGCATGACTCAAAGTGTCCGCTTTCGCTGTAGATACAGAATTGAAATGTGTAGTAAGTAATAAAATAAAAATCCTTGCTTTTCATAGGTCAATATTTATCGACTGGTCACCAAAGGCACAGTGGAGGAGGACATCATCGAGAGGGCAAAGAAAAAGATGGTTTTGGACCATCTCGTCATTCAGAGGATGGACACTACTGGTCGAACTGTTCTGGACAGCAACTCTGGGTCCACAAAGTAAGATGTCAGAAATCTCCTTGTTAAATATTTAGATTCAACAGCTTTTTATGTGTTAACGTTGCTGCCTTTTGTTTTTAACAGTTCAAATCCATTCAACAAAGAAGAACTGACTGCCATCCTCAAGTTTGGTGCAGGGGAGCTTTTCAAAGAGGCCGAAGGAGAGGAGTCTGAACCACAGGTATTCAAGTTACCAAATGAATTAATGCATTCAAAGGACTTTTTACATATTGATCAAGTTAAGCAAGAATGTCTTTCTTTCTGTAGGAAATGGATATTGATGAGATCCTGAGATTGGCAGAAACGAGAGAAAGTGACCAAGGCTCCAGTGCTACGGACGAACTTCTCTCTCAGTTTAAGGTAACCGTTACAGTCATTTAAAGAAATCCTAATCTGAAATCATTTTCAATGTCAGGTCCCAATGTTCCTCTCTTTCAACTTCTAATGTGTTCCTTTGCCACGTCTCTGCAGGTTGCCAATTTCTCCAGCATGGAAGAGGCCGCTCCAGAGCCGCTGGAGAAGCCGGGGCGGGAATGGGACGATATCATCCCAGAAGAGCAGCGACGCAAAATTGAGGAAGAGGAGAAGCAGCGAGAGATGGATGACATCTTCATGCTGCCCAGGAGCAGGAGCTCTAACAAGAGGGTAAGAAGAAGGAATCAAATACTGTTCCTCTTTAAATGATTTGATTCTATCTTTCATTTCATTTAATTTCCATCTTTATTTTGAACAGATTTAAAAAAAATAATAATAATAATAAATAGTGAAAAACAGAATACCGTATTGTTAGAATACAGTATTTATCAATATTCATAATAATATTTATATATTCAACAAAAATATTCATAATAATAATAATAAATCATATGTGTCCGAAAGGGAGCAGGAGGAAGCAAATGCTTTTTAATTCCCGCGCCTTCCTTACTGCTAATCAAAGATTATCCTTTAAATCATTTCTGCAAGTTATTCCTCCTCACATCTTTACATTTATACATTTACAATCATTTCTCATCTCCAATCACCTCTCTTCATTCTCATAGTTTTTCAAAAAAGTCTTTCTGTTTCTTCCAGCAGCTTAGTTGAATCGGGTCATAATGTGTTTCTCTCTCTTCACATTCAGGCTCAGGCCAATGACAGTGACAGTGACGTCGGCTCCAAGCTGAAGAACCGCTCCTCAGGCTCCGAGAGCGAGACTGACGATAGCGATGACGACAAGAAGCCGAAGAGGAGAGGCCGACCCCGAGCCCGCAAAAACAACGTGGAGGGTTTCACTGATGCAGAGATCCGCAGGTAAAGAGTTTAGTAAGCATTTGTTATTTCTTTGTATCAGTGGAGTTACATGCACGGAATTAAAATATACTTTTATTGACAGGTTCATTAAGGCTTACAAGAAATTTGGATCACCGCTTGAAAGGTAAGCATTGTTAAATGATTTTGATCAATGCAAGGCTCCATCGTTTGATTGCTTGGTTTGAGAAACAGTCTGATTGCTCCAACAATGAAGTGCCTCTTTCTGAATCCAGATTGGAGGCCATCGCAAGGGACTCTGAGCTGGTCGACAAATCCATAGCAGACCTGAAGAGGCTCGGTGAACTCATCCATACTAGTTGTGTGACTGCAGTGCAGGAGCACGAGGAACACCTTAAAGAAAACCCAGTGGAAGGTATGTTGGTTTTCGAGTTATTTGAGGTCACAGCTCTGCTCCAGGCTCAAAAATAAAACATGTTGTTCCTTTTTCCAGCCAAAGGTCCTGGGAAACGGCGAGGAATCAACATCAAGATCTCGGGAGTGCAGGTCAACGCCAAGACCATCATCCAGCACGAGGAAGAGTTTGAGCCCCTGCACAAAGTGGTGCCCTCAAACCCTGCCGAGAGAAACCAGTAAGAGACCACTGAAGACACGAGGAGGAGCTCAGGGGTCGCATTGGATAACATTGAGAGAAATACAATTGTGTTGCAGATTACATTTGACATGTGTCTTCTACCCACAGGTTCAATCTGACATGCAGGGTCAAGGTGGCCCACTTTGATGTAGACTGGGATCTGCCAGACGACGTGCAGCTCCTGCTCGGCATCTATGAGCACGGCTTTGGAAACTGGGATCTGATCAAGACGGACCCTGACCTCAAACTCGCTGATAAGGCAAATGTTTAATTTCTAACCCCTTAAAAAAGGAAAAACATCTAAATGTAAAAATATAAGAACACATTTAGGCCCAAAAGAATACATTTATCTTTTGAATTTGAACCAAATCTGACATGCATAAAAGTTGTTGAATCAGTATCTGGTTTAAAAAGCTAAGGGTTTGTCTATACTTCTCTGTTCATGTTCATGTGCACTTAATCTGCACCTCCTTTCTTCAGTCTAACATTTCCCTTCCCTCGGCACAGATTCTCCCAGTCGACCCAGGCAAGAAGCCTCAGGCCAAGCAGCTGCAGGCGAGAGCCGAGCATCTTCTGAAGCTGCTGAAAAAAGAACAAGACAATTCAGAGTCTAAAACAGGGGAGGAGGTACGCTGCCATTAATCACAGTGACTCAGACATACCCTCTGAAGTTTGCCTTTGAACTACCTCCCACACAGCTCTAACCGCCTCTTCCTCCAAAAGGTCAAAGTGAAGAAGAGGAAGCCTCGGGTGAAAAAGGAGAACAAGACTCTGAAGGACGAGCAGGGCAACGACATCTCCTCCCCCCGCCTGTCCGACATCCCGTCAGAGGAGGGCGAGGTCAAGGTCAGTGTCACCTTCACGTCTGTAGAGTCCAGGCTGAGAAATGCTTTTCTACTCCCTGCCGTTCATGTGTTTGTAGCTCTGCTCCTCCTTAAACGATGTTACTTGAATACGTGGCTATGCTTTGTATTTCTACCTTTTTTTAGTGCTGGTACTTTTTGTTGCGAACGAGGAAACCATTTTTTGCTTTTACTAAGGATAAACGCATTTAATGTAGTGACCCAGCAAAGCCATTACAACTGCAAACCTTCTGATAATAAAGCTAAATACAGCTTTTTGTAGGAGAGGTTGCTAAACACTTTATAATATTCACATATGTATACATATTGTAATGCATACATCAGTGGGCCATAGGCTCAATCACTATTGTTACAACTGTCGGAGATAGTTACCGACTTGCTACTTCGGCAAAGTGGTGTTTTTCAGCTTTAATTTGTGATAAACAATGCAATGGTACATTTGATCCACCTAAATCCTTGTCCTCTGTCGTTGTATGAATTCTGTTGTTATATTATCTAAAGGCCCAGATACACCGGCCCAGATACACCGGCCCGAAATCGTCAGTAAATGGGAGTCGGGCCGAACATGAGCGTGGGCACGCCCTATTCGGAGTGGTGTGCGCCGCACCGTCGGGTCTTTTCTGCCGACCTGACGCCTTTTCTTGTCGATTCAATCGGCGTCGGGAACACCACCGGAAGTCGGACAAAGGGATAACACTGATTGGCTGTTCAGCTAGCGATCAGTGCATGAGAAGCGTTAACGGAAGTGAGGGAGGTAAACAAATGATTTAAAATGGAAGATGGAACACACACGGACGGCTATTTCACCTCATCGGTTTATAAAGCTCCTGTTCGTTCATGTTTGCAAGGACGAGAGTGAAAATGGAAAGAAAAACGCTATTTGTTGTTTGTTTATATCACGGAGTCTGTTCTTCTTCTCTGTTTTCCGGTTGTTGCCTCTTTTGAATGATGAATACACACTACCGCCGCCTGCTGGTAAGGAGAGTTATTGCCACTCACGCATACGCAGTTCATACGTGCTCGGCTCGGATTTGCGGTGTGTTCCAGTGCGCGAAGTCGGCAAATACGCAGGAGAGTCCGGCGACGCAACAGTCGGTGTCGGCGACTTCTCAGGTGACTGGCCGGTGTATCTGGGCCTTTAAA